ATAACTCTAATCTGGAATTAGAACGCTAATATGGAATTAGAACGCTAATATGGAGTTATAACGCTAATCTGGAATTATCACGTTAATCTGGAATTATCACGCTAATCTTAAATTATAACGTTAATCTGGAATTATCACGCTAATCTTAAATTATAACGTTAATCTGGAATTATCACGCTAATCTTAAATTATCACGCTAATCTGGAATTATAACGTTAATCTGGAATGATAACGCTAATCTGGAATTATAACGTTAATCTGGAATTATAACGCTAATCTGGAATTCTGATGTACAGTATCGGCGTCAAGTTTAAACTTCACTTTAAATGTCTGACGTAAAAATTCAGGCATTTAATGAAGAATTCAGGTTTTTTAGTTTCAGTTTCAGACTTTTTCATATTTTTGACTTAATTTTCTTTTTTTTAAACTTCAGAGCACTTAAATCTATTTCAGGATTTAATCTCAGAATTTAGAATTTAAACTGATCTTAATTTCAAAATTTGAACTTTAATTACAGATTAGGATTTTGTTTATACTTTAATCCCAAAACCTGGCGTCAACTTTATTTTCTCGCGTTATTTCCAGATTAACGTCTAATAATAATAATAATAATAACAACAATAATATCTTAATAATTGTTCCTTTAAATAATTTCCACGTTAAAACGAGTTCTGCAGCGTTTCAGTGTCGTTCTATTTAACTGGTTCTATACGAGTCTTTGACCCGTTTTTTACTCGCCGATCAGATGAACCGGCCGAGGTTACGAGCGGTGAACTCGGTGTCACAGTGACCCAGAAGCGAACCACAAACCTGAGGTTGCGCCACGTGTTGACCGACGGTAGTAATTCTGTCCAATGAGAAAGTCAAACAGGACGATACCGAGAAGTGAAGCTACAGCAGGACAGACGACGTCAGGACCAATAAAGTTTAATATTCAAACCTGGAAACGTCCAGAACAGCAAACAAGCCGCCGTGTTTTTGTCTTTTTTAGCTTAAAAGAAAAACCGTCAGCAGGTCACCAGAGGTCATCTAAAGAGTAACGAAAAGCTAAAATAAAAGAGAGTTCAGAGAAAAAACTAAAATAACCTGAAGAAGAAGAAGAAGAAGAAGAATGAACAAATACGTGAACAAAAATAGAAAGAAAAACTGCTGCTTCTCATTATTTAAATGGAAAAACTAAAGATTTTCATCTGAAAGCATTAAAATAATAAACAATAATGATCCAGAAGCAGGTGGATGTTTAAAGGTTTGTTTTGGTTCTCTGAAGGTTTTTAAACTAACGTTTGTCGTTTAGATTTTGAGATAAAACGAAATTCCTTCTCAGGATACGGAATCCCAGAGACGCCAAAATTAAAATCAAACCGTGGAGCTGAAATCTGACCGGTCCTGTTCTGTTCTGATAAAGTTCTGCTGCCGTCTGTGTTTGATCACGACGGACTGAAGCTTTCAGGGTTTTAGATTTTAGGAATTAAACGTGTTTCAGTCAAAACATTATTTTCGTGTTTTACATTAAAACAGAACAAAATGTTTAAAATCAAACTAAAGTCGACTGAAAGGCCGTAAACAGAAATGAGCTGCTGTCGATTCAGATGAATGAATCCGGCGTCTGTTCAGCTTTAATTAAACTCCTGTGACTTCATTAACAAAACAGAAACACGCAGCGCTTTCCTGGAAATAATCAACAATCTGCTCGTAAACAACAAACAACAACATCTGGACAACGTTCAGGGAACTATTCCTGAAACAATAAAGAGCTTCACCTCAAAATCAAAATATTAAAATAAAAACAAAAAGAAACGAGAAAAGTTTTCAGTCACGAATCCCAAAGTTTGAATAAAAAGAGTCAAAGTTATAAAATGAGTGTTAATTTGAGTTTAACTATTTTTCCACAAAAATCAGCGTTTTAAGATTAAAGAGATAAAATTCTGTTTATTGTGTGAAATTAAAGGATTTTGTCGTTTAAACAATCTGGAGCAAATTAAAGTTTAAGAGTCAGAATAAAGAAATAAAGGTAAAAATGTTGAACTGAATAAAACTAAAGAGAATAAAATCTACGATCAGACTAGAACCTGGACGTGAAGCTCAGAAGTCTGAGTTTAAACTCAACAACTTGTTTTTTGGTCTCAGACTGTAAATGAACTGAACCGGATTCATTCATCAGACCGTTCACATCAAACTGGTTTGGCTTCGAGCTGAACCTTGAGCTGAAGGTCTGAGGACGGCTGTGCTGATCCAGACGGAGGTTTGGGTTCCTGAGGATGAAGCTCTGAGGACCAGAACGTGAACGTGTGACTGCAGCAGCAGCTTCTGGACCGACTGCCGGCTTCGCTGCTTCTCAGAACCGCTTCCCGGTTCAGGAACGTTCCTGGAAGCCCAACGGGAACGAAGGATTCCTGGAAGCCGGTTCAGGAAACTCCAGAGCGTCTGAGCCGGTTGGACTCCTGACGGAGGCCTCAGGTGTGTCTGAGCTGCAGGTAGGTCAGCCTCCAGCCTCCACATTCCTCTGGAGGAGGAGGAGGAGGAGGAGGAGGAGGAGCAGGAGCGCTTGTTTTCCTCTCCGGGCCTCCCTCCGCCTCCCCGTATCGCTGCCTCCTGCTTTCCAGGAATCTGCAGCCTTCAGCGGATGTTTGGATCGGTCACATGACCGAGCAGAAGACACGAAGGAGGAGGAGGAGGAGGAGGAGGAGGAGGAGGAGGAGCTCCTCAGGAAGAAAACAACCGAGAGCCTCGACTGGAAGAATGAAAATATGTCTGGAAGAGTTTCCTGTTCCCTCTGATCATAAACAACAACAAATGAACCAACATCTGCTCGTTATGATCAGTGATTAGAAAACCCGTCGTTATGATCGGACCTGATGTGGACTTTAATTAACACTTAATGACATAAACTTGATCTCTGCTCGTTTCCTGACTTCGTTCCAGACGTTTGTGTTTCTGAGAAAACGTTGAAGGAACGTTGTTCTTCTATTCTAAATGGGTTCTTCTGAGAAGCTCGGTCAGGAGGCTCCAGGCTGACGTCTGCAGATCCACGTGCACCCTGAGGCCCGGTCAGAACCGTGACGCTGGCTTTGGGTTTTCTGGGGATCGTTTGATCACAGTTTGTGGAGTTTCTGAGTCAAACCCTGGAAAAGTTCTGGTGGAAGCTGAGAAACGTGATTTTATTCCAGATGTAGAACAAAATAAACGTGAAGCTGCAGCGACGCGACTTCAGACCGAAACCTGGTCCAGAAGAACCGCCTCGGTGACGCTCTGAGGGTTCTAGATGGTCTCTGCTCTGGTCCAAAACAAACTGAGGTTCTGACTAAATGGCTGGATGCTGGAGGAGCAGACGTCCTCACAGAACCCTGACGTCCTCACAGAACCCGGACAAGCTGCACAGGTTCTACCAGCTTCACCAGCTCATCGATCAGCAGGGATCCTAAAATAAGACGAAATGTGAATGGACTCTGGTTCAGGAGGAGAACTCTGTTGCATCGCCGTTGTTGATCCGGTTTAAGAACCAGAACCAGTCTGACGCTCAGACGACATGAAACCCGCCTTTAATTTGATTTTAGACATAAAATAAAAAAAAAATCTGTTTCTGATTTTATGCTTCAAACAAAAATAAAATCAACGTTTCTGGTGTCGGGACGTTAATTTAAATCACGTTGGTCCAGATTTAACGTAAACAAACCGGTTTGGATCGAACCTCAAGTTCTGGAAAAACTTTTTATATTTTTTAAACATTTAATAAAAGTTTGAGGAAAATCCATAAACCTGGACCGAACCACAACAGAACCGTCTGTGTGTTCTGAATCTGCAGCCTCACCACGTGACACACGACAGGTGAGTTTCCCGCCCTCCGCTCACCTGTGGTTCCGGGTTCGGGCGGGTTCCGGAGCTCCAGCAGCAGCCGGTCCCGGACCCAGCTGAAGTCGTCCAGGCTCCGCAGGAAGGCGGGGAAGGCCCGCGGCCCGCGGCCGGGCAGCAGCTCCAGCAGCCGCAGGGCCCGGAGCCGGTCCGAGCCGCGGGACAGGATGTCCTCCACCTGTGCGTCCGTTAAGATGTCCTCCTGGTACAGCAGCGGAACGATGGCGTCGCGGACCAGCAGCTGGCCGGACAGTTCCAGGCGGTGCTTCCGGAGCAGCGCTCGGTGCTCCGGGTCCATCACAGCGGCTCCGGACCGACTGGTGAACTAGTAAACCCGCTAACCAGCCTGAGGATCACGGTAACTAGTCCTCCGTGTCGCGGCTGCGGCCCGACGACTTCCTGTTGCGCAGCCTTGTTGGGACCGACTGGAAACACGCAGGCGGAACCAAGGTTTCGCTCACCGCCCAGAGTCCAGTCAAGTTTTTTATAAAGTTAATTTAATGAGTGGATGACTTTATAACTACTCACTTAATTAGATCTACTGGGTTTATTACTGATCGCTCCTCAGTTCGGGTCATATTTGATCCACCAGGACTTCAGTGGACTCTGGTTCTGGTGGACTCTGGTTCAGGAGGAGACTTCTGTTCATCACTGATCTGATCGAATTCATGGATTATTATCAGTTAGTTATTTTCCGTTTATTAGTTCAGGAAAAGTTTGTTTAAAGAAAACTTAGTGCAGATTCTGTCTGGCAGCAGCTTTTTATGGGTCAAACGTCTGCAGAAGTTCTGATGGACCGAGTCATTTAAATCTGTTCTGAATGAAAAAACAAGAACGCTGAAATTAAAAATGAATAAATGGACAAAAGAGTCGTGTAATCAAAACAAGAGACTTCTGTTGAACCCACCACCTTCACTTATGCTTCCAATAAAAATAGAAACTAAAAAAATTAAATATGATCAAATCAAAGATTTAAAAAAAAACACGAAATAAAATAAAAACAGATTCTTTTCCATACAGCAGGTGTTTTGTTTTCAGACTTCAGCTCCTTAGTTATAACACAGAGTGGGATTTAACTTAACGTTTTATTCCTGGTCGATATCATTTTACATGAAAAAAAAACATAAATTTATTTCTTTTATTTTTAAATGATGTCGGTGGTAACAGGAGGATGACTTCCAGGCTTTTTATTTATATTTTCCAACATGAAATATATAAAATCTGCCACATTTTGTACGTTTTTAAAATGATTTGGTTAATTTATAGGCATATAAATGCTTCTATAGAGATGAAATAAACCATTATAGAAAAAAAAACACAAACAATGCGGTTATAAATCATCTTTCATCATTGAATTTTGCTTTTTATTCCACAAACTTCACAGCTTCCTTCTTTGCTGTAGGTACGGGCTCTCAGAAGGACAAAATACGACCTGTCAAATATGGTTTTAAAATAATCTTGTTGTTTTTTCCGTGTTACATAAATAAAATCTTTGGAGTCGTTTCGGTTGCAGAACTTCTGCATTTTTTGTCCATAAAAATCAGAGAAACGTGGAAACTTTCAACATTTCAGAACTTTTTTTTTTTTTCCTGGCACACTTTGGCCTCCGTACCGACAGACTTCCGTGACCATATTTGGGCGAAAACTGAAAAACATCAACGAGATAAAAGCAGAGAACACAGAGCCGGGCTGAAGCACCATATAAAAACTTTATTGATCCGGCGGTCGGCGCTGATCAACGTTTACAGGCGGAACATGCGTTCGTTACAAAAACGTACCAGAAACACAGTGTGACACAATCAATAAATATCGTTAAAAAAATCAACCTGCGGCCTCCAGTCCACGGCCGCGATATGTTCAAAGAGCCGCCGCGTCTCTGACGATGACGACGATTCGTTCACCGGAAAGTGAAGCAACGCGGAAACAAGCCGTCACTGACTGGCCTCCGTACGCCGACAAAGGCAGAAGAAGAAGAAGAGAAGGTCAGCAGCAGCAGGACACGCCCCCTTTACCTGAGCGACCACATGACCAGGACATGACCCCGCCCCCTCAAAGCATAAATACGGTTAGTTTATTAAATTATCTACTCAAACACATCTGATGTGAAACTGGCAGCGAGTCTCATCGGATCAGAGATCGATAAGTTCACGTTTGTTTGGAATTAATTTATTAGAGTTTATTCGTCTAAAGGTGAAGCTGCTCATGACGACAGAGAGCTGAACAGGTCCATCTCCATGATTAGAAGGTTTATGTTCCAGGAAGTGTTTTTGAAGTAAAAGCAGCAGTACGAGACGAAGCTAATCTGTCCCGAAATCACCGGGACGCCCGCAAGCTCCAAACAGAGTCAACGTTTATATTTTATCACATTTGTGTCGCCAGCAGTCTGCACTGGAATCTAAAAACACAAGATTTTTGAACAGAGTCTGGTTGAGCTGGTTAGCTGGTCTCCAAACACAGAAAAAGCTCACAGGAGGAAAGGACGTGTGCAGGGGAGTAAAATAACAAATCGTATTCCACTGAATTTACAGAACAGGCCAAAGAGATTTAGATTTCAATAGTTAGCAGATAACGAGGAACCCAAATAATGTGAAATTGTTTCACAGCGTTTGGTTAAATTGTCACCAAACACAGCCGCCGAGTTTACCAGCCGACACCATCGGGTCATAGAGACCCAAAGTTACCTTAAAACCAGGAAACCTGAAAACCAGGAAACCTTAAAACCAGGAAACCTTAAAACCAACGCTTTTTGAACAGGGTTTGGTTGTGTAGGTTACACGGTGGTTACAGTGCTCGCTAATTAGCTTAAACTTTAATTGACCCAAGCTGAATTTTTGAGGAGGTTTTCTAACATGTATCTCTACATGATGAATCAAATATGTGCCGGATTTATCAGAAAACTCAAAGTTTTCAAACCGACTCATATTTTATCTTCCACTGGGTGCTAATGGCTGACCGCTAAGGAATCCTAAAAACGACGGGTTTTTGAATGGAGTTTGGTTGGATGTTGCTCACGCTGGTGATTTTCAGTCTGAACTGTGAAAGTAAGAGTTTCGGTATTTCTGCGTGTCCCTCGTGTGACACTGCGCCTTTGTTTTCCTGCGACGTGATTGGCTCGTGGCTGCAGAGTACTACAGCAGCAGGACAAAGTCTACAGGAGCCCACAGGGGTCAAACTCAGCCTGACGTTTGTTCTCATGGAACCATCAACAGCTCGGAGGACGTGTTTGTTTTCACCGCATCGATCGGGAAACCTCGGCTCGCCGCCTCACAAGCGTTCATGGTCACAGGCTGTCGATGGGCCAATCAGAGCGCAGCGCTGCCGGTGTTTACAGGTAGAACCGAGCGGCGCTGATGTTGATGTTGGCAGCAGGTCCGCTCAGTTCTGCTGCTGTCACACTTCAAAGCTGTTCTTCAGGTCAGTCGTTCCCCGACAGCCAATCACAGGCTTGTTTTGGTTGTTAGAGCGGAGCAGATCAATCAGCTAATCAATCAGAGCGTCACCAGCAAAACAACCTACTGGTCTGAGAGTTTCCAACCAGAATGAGTGAAATCAAGCTGATTAGTTTCTGGCTGTTGGTTTGATTTAAAGAGAAAACGATCAGTTCTCCGAATCAATGATCAATAATTAATGATCAATAGTCACTTCTACTGGTGGGTCCAGTTCTTCTGGAAACAAGCTCATTCTCCACCAAAACAAAATAACCAAGGTGGCGCTGATCGATCAGCTGATTAGTTTGATAGGTGATTATTCATTTCATCTAGACAAGCTAGTTTAGCCCATCTAGCTAAAGGCGCTGCTACATGAGCTAACGCATGTAGCAGCTGGTTTAGCTACACTTCTCTTGTTAAACCTAACACAGCAGCTCAATGTGACTAGCATTATCAGGCTAATGTTATCATGTTTAGGCTAATGCTATCTCATGTACACCAGACTCCATTCAAAAAAGTGCCATTTTTATCACAGACAGAACAACAGACCCACCAGAGACGTTTTACTCGTCAGCAGGGTCGTCCGTGAAACTCAGCAAACAGCTGATTGACTGATAAATAATCAATAATTATTCTGATAAAATAAGACGACGACACTTCGGACATTGTTTACAGACGAGACGACGTATGAATAACGTGAACATTGGTTTGAATGCAGCTGCGTTTGTTAAAGAGGAATCAGTTGCTAAAGACGGCGTTGAACATGGACCTGTATTGACCTGTATTGATCAGTATTGATCTGTATCGGTGATCAGGAACTCTCAGAGCTGTGGGTACATCTGTACCTGCGTGTGGAGGTCATGTGATATCTTCACGCTAACCTCAGCTAACTTAGCTTCACCTGCAACGGAGATGAAGGTCATCCCAACATGGCCGCTGCTTCCTGTGTGTCCCTTTCACCTGGCCAGGTGCAGCAGCGGGGCATGCTGGGATTGGTCAGTGGTCATGTGGGCGTCGCCGCTCGGCGTCCGTCTACACGTTGTAGGCGTAGTCCGTCAGGTAGTCCTTGAGTCTGTTGGGCAGCGGCAGGTCCTGAACCCGCCGCGTCCTCCTGTTGATGGCGATGCGACACAGGTGCTGCAGCGACGGCGTGGCGGTGTACACCGGCTTGGTGAGCAGCAGCTGCACCGTGCCGTTGGGCGCCGCCGCCGCCGCCGGCTCAGAGTTCGCCTTGTCGCTGGTCCGGGACAGCTGGACGTAGTGCTCCACCAGGTGGACCACGCTGTCGAACTGCTTCAGCCGCGGCTTCACCAGAACCACCGAGTCCAGCTTGAACTTGCCGTGTTTGTACTCGATGCGCAGGTTGGTGGGACCCGCCGACGTCATGGCCGAGATGGTGAACAGGTAGTCCTGCTGGGAGCTGTCCCGCACCAGGAAGGTTCCCTCCGAGGCGTCCTGCAGGATCTCTTTGGCTTCGTTAGCGGTCAGACTCCCCCAGTACCAACCTGGCGCCACACAGACACCAAGCCAGAGTTAGAGCACCAGAACCACTGCTAGCTTACAGAACATTAGCTTATTAGCTTGTTTAGGCTCATGTTGCAGCTAACATTGTCTTGCTTAGGCTAACATAGCGGCTAACATTGTCTTGTTTAGGCTAATGCAGCGGCTAACATTGTCTTGTTTTGGCTGATATAGTGGCTAACATTGTCTTGTTTAGGCTAATGTAGCAGCAAGCATCTTGTTTAGGCTACTGTAGTAGCTAACATTATCTTGTTTAGGCTAGTGTAGCATCTAGGCTTTCTTTGCTAGGGCTAACGTCGCAGTATAATTTCTCTGTTTCAACTAATGAGCCGTTGTGGATATAATTACGGCGTTTAAGCTAACAGAGCAGCTAACATTAGTTTGTTTAAGCTAACGTAGCAGCTAACACTATTTTGCTCAGGGTGAATGTTAAACTGCCTGATTTTTGAATTCTTGAAGCAGCAAAATGTGAAACAGTCCTGAGTTTTATTTTTAGCTCGTGAACCAGTGAACACGACGGAAAATATTTGGTTCAGGTCTGGGTTTTAAAGTGTTCTGGTTCTGTTTTGTCCTGAAGCTGCAGCTGCAGTCCAGTGGAAGGAAGCAGCACATGTGAAGTCAGATTTATAACGCAGAAAGCTTCAATTTGACGTATTTTTAAATCCTCTCTAACGCTGCCAAAACACACAGAACCTGGAGCTGGAGGCTGCAGCTGCTCTGCAGCTTTCCAGCTGTTCTGCTCATCTGGCCCGGCTCTGGAAACTTCAGGAAAACCCTGTTTTTATGTGCGAACACCAGCTGACCTGTGTTCCTGAGGTCCTTCATGGCGAGGGCGACCCGACTCTCGTCCGATTCCACAGCCCTCGAGTTGTTGTCGGCTCGTCTGTCGCCCTCGATGGTTTCTGTGGACTCGGAGGACTGGCAGGTCATTGGACTGGTCCGGCGCCGGCCGAGCTTCAGGCCCACAGCTCGGACATGGGCCCAGTCTGCAGGACGGCGCTGCTCAACTCTAATCTGCTCCGGCCAACACCGACCTGGAAAGTTAACGAGATCCATCAGCGGCTCGACTTTAAATTCATGTGAGACGATAAAAACAAAGGAAAGCTTCTTTCCTCCCACAACGGACTCCATTCAAAAATGTGCTAATTTAAGACGGCGGTTGAGATGGCGACACTGATTGTGCCGCAGTTTGGGGTTTTTGAAAAGACCAAAAATAAAAAAAAATAAACAGAAAAACAAACCTTTTCACACAGTCTCAATGAAAACATGAATTACTTTCATGATTAGAGTATTTCTGAGGAAGTTTGCTCAAGTCGAGTCGCTTTTCTCTCACAACGGACTCCATTCAAAAATGTGCCAATTTAAGACCACATTGTTCCCAAACTGAGAAACAGATGGACGGAGGAGAAACTCGGCAGCACAAACCTGGAACGTTTGGGGATAAAAATGGAAAAGATTGTCAACGAGTCTGAGAATTATTCAGAAGAAGGAGCCAATAAAATCAGAACAAACAGTGTTTTAACTAGAATCATTACTGGAGCTTCTTTTTTTTTTTAAATCCCTCAAACAAAGACTAAAAACGAACCAACGTCAGACGTCACTGATCAAACTCAGCCGTTCTGCTCATTTTGAGCTTTTGGACGTTTGTGTGATTTTCTCACATTTTAAAGACAAAAATCCAGAAAACAAGCAGCAGAACCAAACACTGGGTTCAGTGGAAGCTTTGATTCTTGTTTGGCTCGTCTTCATTGTGAGAAAACTTTGAGTTCATGTGAGCCAATAAAAGCAGGAATCTAACTGGAGAAAAGCTTCTTTCTCCTCACAACGGACTCCATTCAAAAATGAGCCAATTTAGGACTAAATTGTTCCCAAACACCGACACAGACTGACGGAGGAGAAACTCTGAGTTTTTATCCATCAGCCAAGTCGCCTTTTAAATTCTGTGAGCAAGTGACTGAGTGAGCAGCACAAAGCCGCCACGTTCGGAGCATTTTTGAGGTATTTTACTGGAGAAAAGCCTCTTTTCTGTCCAGACAGACTCCGTTCAAGAATCAGCCAAATTAAGCCGAGACTGGTTGAGATGCTGAAGACGTGCCGCTGTGACCTCGGACCTGAGCCACGTCTCAATGAGGCCAGATGTGGTGAAAGCTAAACGTTTTCTGACAAACCGAGCCGCAGACGATCAGATTGTTTGACTTGTCATCTCACATTCCTGCTGTCTTACGTAACACACCTCCGTCAGCGGATACGCACGGATTTCAGCGTGTTTGGCTGCTGCAACACTTCAGACAAAGAGAGACCAACAAAACCAACGCTGGCCTTAAATCGCTGGAATTTTCAAGGGACTCTGGCAGAGAGAGTTCTCTGTAGAAAAAGGTTCAGGTGCTCCTCCTGAGTGTGTGATGAACGTCTTTATGTTGCTGATCGATCTCTGATGTCTTGTTCATATCCTGTTTGGCTGCTGAGTGTGTTAAATGTACCAGAGGACTATAAGGAACAGATTAAAGTAGACACATAAACAGCAGAGGAAACTTAAATTGCAAGAATTTTCAAGGGACTCTGGTGGAGAGAGTTCTCTGTAGAAAAAGGTTCAGGTGCTTTCAAGTGTTCCTCATCTGTTACTAATTATGTTACTAATTGATCTTTGATGTCTCATTAACATCCTGTGTGTGAGGACAGATCACAGCTGCATGTAAACAGCAGAGGAAGAAGTTCTGACCCGGTCCGGCCTCCAGGAGCCACCTTCAGGTCAATCCTGCTGCACGAGGTCCTTAAAGCTCAGACTGGTTCTCCAGAACAAGGAACCAATGAAACACGGAATCACAGGAATCTGGACTGGTTCTGCTTCCAGTGACCAGTTCCTCCGGTCGCTGTGAATAAATCTGGTTTACGAGCCGGATCTTGTGATTCCAAAGTGGACCTAAAAGGACGGATTGTTCTGACTGTTCTGCCGTAAAATCGCAGGAATTTTGAGCAGAGTTTGGTTAAAGTGACCAGAACATGTGTCTGGTTTCAATAAATACCGGGTCTCTGCTCGTGGGCTGGATCCAGGACAGAACCTGAGTTCTGTCTTCTGCTGGTCTGTGGTTCTGCCAGACACTCAGGAAACGTGTGATTGTGATGGTTCTGGAAAGAATCTGTCTGAACGTTTTATTGTTCAGTGTGAAGCCGGAGCTGGTTCTGGAGGACGGACTGATGGTCCAAACCCACCAGCTTCTACGTTTTATAGGAGAAATAAACAGCAGCTGTTGTGATGAGCTTCCTCTGCTCACATCAGTCCAACAACCAGGAAACGTTACAAGAACGTTTCAGTGAATTTAGCTGAAACGAGCCAGTTTCCACATTTTATTGTTGGGATTTCTGTCAGTTGGACCTAAACGCTTCACACTGGGTGTTTTGTTCGGTGCCGAATTTAGGAGTGGACCTCACAGGACAGATTGTTCTGCTGACAGGTTCTGATTCCGGCCCGCCGCCCAGCAAACATGAAATTACAGGAATGTTGAACAGAGTTTGGTGTAAAGGGACCAGTTTCTCCATTACAACGTAAGAAAACGAGTCCTTCTGAAGTAAATCCTGCTACATGCGGGCTTTGTTCTGACCCGAATATTAGCCTGAAGCCTAAAGAACAGTTTGTTCTGCGGACGGGTTCTCAGAACCAGCGGAGCGCCGAGAGAACCTCGAATCACAAGAATTCTTCGTTTCGTTCGACGAAGCGCGTCGCGTCCTTCATGGAGAGAAGCGGGTCGATTCCTCCTGTTGGTGTTTGGACCGAGAGCTGCTCTAACACGTCCAGAACCACCAGAACTGATGGAGACATAGTTGTATAGTTACAGTTACAGAAAACAGAGTTAAATGTGGTCTGAACAACAGCAACGTGTTTGTCATGACATAGAAATCATATCGATGATTAAATATTAATTATATTTATTATTAAATATTTATTATAATTATTACTAAATACCGACTATTATAGATTTTTATTTACAGCAAGTTCTGACCCAGAGGCCTAAAACGCAGAATTTCACACAGAGTTCGGCCTGATCCGTTTTATTCTCTGATTTAAACAGAAAACTGTTTTTTACAAAAAACGTTTTCTTTAAAAGTTTCTGCTTTTTGGCGGAATTAAAGAATTCTTGATGAAAAACAGGGAAACGGCTCGTTTCGTGTTCCGGTTCGTGTTCAGTCCGGAGGCCGCGGAGCAGAACCAGAATCAGAGGAATTTTAAACAGAATTCTGCGTAAAGTCCGTTTCTCGGTTCGGCTCCCTGATTCCGGCCGAGGCGGCGGAGCAGGTGTTCAACCGGACTCTGGGTCGGAACATCCTCCGGGAGTCCGGTTCTGACCCACCTGACAGCTGAAGGTGACACCGGCCGGACTCACCTGAGGTTCTCCCGCGGACTGAAGCTAACCGGAGCCGCGGCTCGTCCTCCAGCAGCCCGACATGTCCGGCCCGCAGAGGCTCCCGACCCGGTCCGCTGCCCGGTCCGCTGCCCGGTCCGCTCCGCTCTCCTCGACTCTCTAATGGCGGGTCGCAGCGGAGACACACGGAGGTCCCAGCCCCGGATCACCGCCGCGAAGCACCGACCGGCTCCCGTTAACCGGAGACTCTCTGAGGTACCGACAGCGTCCGAACCGTCCGTCCGACACCGAGCTGAACATCCGAGTCCAGCCGCAGCTAATAACCGAATCACCATAAACACAAAGGCAGCATTTCCAGGAACTTTCCAGGAATACGGTCACGTGGTGCAGCCAGGACGGATTTAAGGTGGACCGGCACACACCGGCTGGTCCAAGCGGCGGTGTGGGGACCCGGGTTCATCAGGGTGCATCCGGCCTCAGAACCGGGACCGGGACCGGAAATAGAACCGGGACCGGGACCGGAAATAGAACCGGGACTGGAACAGGAATAGAACCGGGACCAGAGCCAGGAATAGAACCAGGACCGCGAGTAGGAATAGAGCCGGAACCGGGAACTGGACCAGGATAGAAATAGAACCAGAACCCCAAAACCAGGTCCAACTTTTAAAATGTGAGGAAAAGAAAAATCTGATCATGTTCAAGAACCGTCTTGATGTTCCCATAAATGTTCTGATTCTATAAACGGCCCCACGTTCCCCGATGGTTCTGGTACCAACGTGTCCCCGTGTTCCTGAACATGTCTAAACGTTATGAACACGGGTGTCCAGTCCTGGTCCTGGAGGGCCACAGTCCTGCATGTTCTAGATGTGTCCTTCTTCCAACACACCAGATTCACATGATCAGCACAGCAACAAGCCCTCCAGAAAGCTGAAAACCAACCTGATCATGTGAATCAGGTGTGTTGGAAGAAGGAAACATCTAGAACATGCAGGACTGTGGCCCTCCAGGACCAGGACTGGACACCCCTGCCCTAAAGTCTCCTCACATCTACTGATTATTCTTCGGTTCCCACGTCGTCCTTCGTTCCCTAAAACAAAACGTCCTGAATCTCCTCAAGTCCCCAGAATGTCACAAAGTTCCCACATTTAGTGACGCTCCTGGAACGCCTCAACATTCCCAAAGTGAACCTCGTGTTCCAGAACTGTCCTCACGTTCCCAACAGTGTCCTCATGTTCCCAAAATGTTCTGATGTTCCCACAAATATCTTTACATTTATAAACTGCTGTGAGTATTCCGTGAATGTTCTTACATTTAAACCTGCTGTGTTCCCATAAGGGGCCTCATGTTCCCAGAAACGTTCCTGAAGCGTTCTCGGGGCGTTTCTCAGTACGTCGTTAGAGCTCCAGTCCTGGAGGTTCTGCAGGATGTCGTCGTTTGGGTTCCGTCTTGTTCTTATTGGTGCTGAACTGAACTGAGCTCCGTTCTGGTCTCTGCTGCCACCTGCTGCTCGGCTGCTGCAGCTGCATCCAGGACGTTTTCCAAACTGAAGCAGTTTTAGTTTTTTACAACTCTTCTGAATAAGTTTTAAATACACAGAACATATTTTAAACATGTTGAGTTAGGATTTAAGTTTGTGGTTTCTGTTTTTTTTAACTTATTTCTTTATTTACTTGTTATTTTCTGCCGTTTCAAAGCGTTCTCGTAGATCTGGTCGTTGTGACCACGTGTAGGATTATGATGACTGATGTGACTCTGATGCTGCAGTTTGCCTGTGATGAGCCCCTCGGCCTGCAGGGGGCGCCACCTGACTGCGTTTCCTGAATGAGACCAGCTGGTTGCACATGATGGTTTATTTGTAGGTGTGTTCATTATGCCTGCACAATCTGACTGGAGGTTACATATCAAACTTTATTCACTCATAGAAAATCACTATAAAATGTCTTCGTGCTTCAACAGTCACACAATAAACTCCACTGCACGTCTTTCCTGTGGTAAAAAAAAAACAAAAGAAGAAGAAGAATCTAAAGTGTAACGCCGACTTTCCTCCGAACACAGAATCCAGGAGGAAGGTCGAGTCCTTCGCCTGCTCTTTCACAATAAGACCATTTTCTGTCAAAGAAAATCAGAGAATAAATAAAATCACATTTCAGTTTGTCCTGATGTGGAACCAGCTGCTTCTGCTCGACGTCTGGGGTTCTCACAGAAACACGAGAATCTAAATCCACAGGTTTGAAAGAAACGTCCCGGAGGATTCAAACGCACGCTGAGCTCTGATTGGCTGAATTCACCTGGACCGATTGTCTGAAGCAGGAAATGAGTTTTTCTACTTTTACTGTGACGTTAAAGGATCGTTCTGCTTCCCATCAGCCGGTTGGGTTTCCGTCAGCAACAAACCAAACAGAACACGGTCGGGTTCAGTCACTGGCTCCAGGTCTTCATCGTCGCTGTCAGGTCAAACTTCTAGTCGCTGTTTTCTGTTGTTATCCATAAACTCATATCCGTCGTTTCTGTGACTGTGTTCAGATGCTTGTAGTTGCTGTTTAGTCAAATGTTCATTTCCTGTCATTTTTAGTCTCTTTTTCTATTTTCAGTCACCGGTTGGAGCTTTTCAGTCGCTGGTTTTCATCTCATTAAGTCTGTTTGTTGTCGTCTCAGTGGCTGATCTCCGTCCTTTACATTCACCGTCTTCTGTCATGTTCAGCCACAGATGTTTGTGGTTTTCATTCACTGCTCTGTTTCAGTCACACATAGTCGCTGTCTGGTCATGTTCAGCTTCTGTTCTGTCGCTTCTTCTCGTCATCCACTCAGTCGCTGTTTCCTGTTCGTTCATCATTTTAAGTCGTTTTCTGTCTTTAGTCGTCGTCAGTCAGTGTTTCTGCTGTTTTCTGTGCGGAGGACGAACACGTTGGTGATCACATCAGACAGAAAATATCCGATCAGGTTGGATATTTTCCTCCAACACACATTTAAAACACAACCGAGGAAGCAGCAGGTGAAATAAAGCAGAACGATCCTTTAACTTTAAAGCAGCGCCCGTCCTGAGCGCTGACGTTAACCCACAGATAGATGGCAGTGATTCAACCCGAGTTAACTCATCTCAGTTTAAGGTACTGTTTATAAAAGCTGCTGCGAGAAGATCAGAGTTCAGCCTCAGGACCGAATCTGCAGGAACCAGAAGAACCGGGACGATGAGCATGAGAACTTTGGCACCGAGCGTGAACGCTGTCCCAGAACAAAGTGAAACGTCTCCAGTGCATCACGGAGGAGAGAAGAGTTCAGTTCTACGGCACGGTGACGTGGAACGGGCTGCCGGGAACGTTCTCGTCTCCCCACTTGACGATGAGGATGTAGCTGCCCTGCTCCTTCACCGTGTACGTCACGTTGTACATCCGGCTGCCCATGTGCTTGACGTAGACCTCCTCGCACGGCGTCTTCGGTCCGTGGACGCCGACCATCAGCATGTTGGTTCCTGCAGAGAGGAAACAGAAACATCAGCGGGCGACGAAGCAGCAGACAACGAACCGGCATGACGCCGCTGCTCACCTGCTTTGCTGCAGTCGACCGTGAACGTGTTCTTCTGACCCACGAAGGCCTTCGACAGTCCGGCGCCTCTGGACACGACTTTACTGGCGTCTGACGAGAATTTGGGCAGCGAGGCGAAGGCTCCGCCCATTGACGACGACTTGGTGACGGTTTCCACGATAACCGACGACGTTTCGTGTAGACTGTGACCGCCGGACAGACGAGGACCTGCAGGAGGTTCAGAGAGATGCAGTGATGTGGACGTTTGGGGTTTTTACAGAATCAGTTTCTATTTTTATTTTAAATGAGCTGTAAAATAAAGTGCTTTTAATCGAATATTACAGTTTTTAGCTTAGCTTTGGTTCATTTTCTGGATGAAAGCGTAGGTCACAGGTGAGTAGTTGAAGGACTGAGTTGAAAATCCAACAGTTGTTTCTGTTTTTACAGTTTCTGTCAAATAAACGGCGTCATTTTGTCAACATCTGACAGATAAGAAGCCTTTCAGACCTCTGGAGGTTGTTTTTGGGTTGAGAGGGTTAAAGATGAAATTCTACTGACTGGAACTGAAACTGTGAAAAATCTAAGAAATCCTGAAGACATTTAAAGAAACACTAAACCCCGACCAGGTTCTGTGGCCCACCGAGCCACCGAGCCACCGACCCACCTGAGACTTTGGCCTTGAAGGGGCTTCCTACGATGTGTAGCGGTCCTCCATATTTGATGGAGATCAGATAGTTTCCAGGAGCCATCGGTGTGTAGGACACCTTGTAGCCTTCAGGACACTCCTGACACTCCATCTTCACCTTGGACGGGCCGTCAATGGTCACCGACAGAGCTCCAGAACCAGCGTTGCAGGTGTTGACGATGAACTCGGACGCCACACCTGAACACAGAACGTCCATTAAAACCCTCTTAAGGTTTTTATTCAGTGAGTTGAAATGAAGGCTGGTTGATACCTGTGGTTCCTCCCTCCAGGCCCGGTCCAAAGGCAGACACCAGCCCTGGATCTCCCACCTGGCCCGGTTCTCCCACTCGGATCTTGAAGGGGCTGCCGGGAACATGGCTGCCGTTGAAACGAACGTCTATAGAGTGAACGCCGTTCTCTCGCGGGATGAACCGGATCGCGTGCTGGTCTGTAGGAACAGAAGGATCCACATTCAGGTTCTGTTTTGACCTTCAAGAACAACCTCAATAAGTTCTGCACAGGTTCCTCAGGAAGTTTCAAACGACAGGCTGAATTAGGTTTTAGACCTGAGGAGACTTTTAAGGCAGATTTCTCACCTGATGTGCTGAAGACACTGTTGGAGTAAAGTCTCATCAAAGCTTCATTCTTTGCTTTTTTTGGTTAGAATAAGTTTTTTTTTCTTTCTTGTTATTTCGTTGATTTAAATCCTGAGTCACCTACAGATGTCAGTTATAGCTTTCAGAGCTCTAAAGTGGATTCAGATCATCAGAATGTACAGCTATATAAAGCAGGGTGTCATCTGCATAGCGGTGAATAATGACGTATTCATGGATGGTAACACTCGGGCTGCAACTTGTAATTATTTCAAATGTTTATTTATTTAACCTTTATTCATTAGGGATTGAAGATTGAGATTTAAGTTTCTTTTATGAAGGAAAGCTGTTTTACGGTCACAGAAAAACGATAAAATCCTCAAACGCAGACATTGGACAAATTAACCCACACTAAACCTACGACGGAACGACTCGCAAATAAAGTCATACTGGGTTTATTATGATAGTGTGGTTCTGGTACAAGTGGTGTTTTCAGTGAGAATTGTACATTTGTATTTCTTTTTCACAAATTTAGAAAAAATAAACAGAAAAACGATCATGTGATTTGTAGTATATTCCACTATGATTCGAGGGCTGTAGCATCTCTGTAGCGCCACAGTAACTCACCTTTAACAGCATATTGATGAACCTTTTACCTCTACAGAGCCAACCAGTAACCGAGGCTGACATTCTGCTTCGTCTTAGCTCAAGCTGATTGGTGGTGGTGGTTCTTACCGCTGTCCAGCTCGGTGATGTAGCACTCCTCTATGGCTCCTGATGGAGTGTGGATCTTAGCGTCGATCAGCCCTCTGGCTCCATTCAGCTGGACAGCAAAAGAAGCTTCCTGACCCACTTTCAGACCCATTTCCTGATCCAGAACAGAGAGCAAAGACAGGGATTATGTATTAGATTTACTCTCACATGTCTCAGTTATAGATCTGTTAAATAAACTGAACAACCTTCCTAAACCAGACTACAGGTTCATTATGTAACGCTGCACTTATAAAAGACATACAGTCCTCACTACAGAGCCGTTCTTCACTCACTGATAAAACATCTAATTGTAGAAAATCAACCGTCACCTTTAATATAGCATCAACACATCAGAGGGTTCAGCTCACTCTGTAGAAACTGACTGAATTGAGGTTTCAGGACGTGTTCCCACCTGCAGGCTGGTGATGGTGAGGCGGCGAGCGTCGTCGGACAGCGTGGCCACGGGGACGATGAAGGGCGAGTCGGGGATGTGCTCATCGTTGAACTTAATGGAAACTTCATAATCACCTGGACAGAAGAGAAGATCGCAGAACGTTATAACTTCACAAATCCTCACGGTATCGCGGCCGTCCTGTAGCTCAGTGCATCTGTGGAGTTCCTCAGGGATCCATCCTCAGCCCACCCATCTTCAAACAAACCTCGCCCTCTAACTGATAAATGACAAAGCCCTGAGGAACTCCACAGATCCTGGATCTTACATCAGCAGGTTTTGGGCCTTCAAATTCTAAAACAACTTCAATTCAATTCAATTCAATTTTATTTGCATAGCGCATATTTACAACAACAGTCATCTCATAGCGCTTCACAAAGGCAGAAACAGAAACACCCAACAATCCAAAACATTTGGATTCCCTATAAGCTTCAGGGAACTTGTGGCTGAGATTAGATTTGCTAAACCTAAGACTGTTTTACTGTTTTAATCCTTTTGTGAAGCACTTTGCAACATCAGGAAAGTGTGATATAAATAAAACATTTATAAAATTAACTATAGCAGCATATTTTAGTAGTCACCACAGAAATAAAATGTGTTAAATTCAGAAGCTTCTCCCATTTTTTACTGGATGCTGTTTGTTTTTATCAATTTACTCCATTTTTAACAATGAACTTTTCTCATTACTTTATTTCTTTATGTCACAAAAACTTTTTTTTTTCCCCACAAAACCAACACATCTCATTAAAACTAACGTCTTCTTGTTCCACGTGTCTCATTATTTATTCTACACCCATGTTATGCTTTCTTTTAATCTGATTGAAGCATTTATTATTCTTTAGTCAACTGAATGTTGAAGGTTGGAGATTAAATTGTGCATTAAAGTTCTGCTGCACTGAACCTTTGATGAGTAATGTTGAGTTATGGTAATGTTGATCCTGATTAAAATGGAACCAAACTGGACCTGGATATTCTGTTTGGGTCTTACCGGGCTCCTGCACCACGTAGGAGGCGCCACAGGATCCATCCTTCCGGTCTTCAAAGGTGATCTCGGCCTTGCTGGGTCCCTCCACTGCAATGGACAAACCTCCAGCTCCGGCTTCTCTGGTCCAGATACTGAACTCAGCTGCAAGACAACAGTCAGGTTCACCACAGCGACTGCAGAGCTGCAGTTCCTCCAGCAGCCACTAGAGGCTGTCGGCAAGAAAAATCAACTGAAGTGAAGACTAACTTCACACGATGTAGTCTGTCAGAAAAAGATTTAACATGTCCGAATACACAGTGCATCAAATGCTGTTGCCAAAAACACCCCGATGTCCTGATGCGACCTTTTCTGTTCACAGTTCTCTGCGCAGTTAAATCACAAACTTTGCAGTTTGTGCACGAAAATAAACCGACTTAAACACCAACACAAACAGACGACTGTGACAGACAACGTTTAAGGTGCATTATCATTATGAAGTAGTCTGTCCTCGCCGGAAGCAAACTGCATGAAACAGTTTGTGGACAGAGTCGAATTGAAGATCTCCAGATGTCCTGGAGGCACCTTCGGCTAAAGTTTGAACTGTGTTGATTCTCAAACTGAGACGAAGGGGGCGCTGATGAGGTTGTAATAAAAACAGACTGCGTGACTTAAACAGAAATCAAAAGACTAAAGTTTGACCAAAACTGAAGGAGGACTAATTCAAACTTTCCAGCCCACCTGGGATCCCGGCCACTCCCCGGTCCAGTCCGGTTCCTCCGGCCCGGACCTTGTGGGCTCCTCCCTCCCCCAGTGGCCCCACAGTGAACTGGAAGGGACTCCCGGGTACATGCTGGCCCCGATATTTCACATTGACGGTGTGAGGTCCCATCTCCTGAGGGATGAAGCGAACGCTGTAGGTGCTGTCCTCCCCTCTGATGATCTCTGCATCCTCCGTCTTCCCTCCTGGACTCGTCACCTGAGCCGTCATTTCCTGGTTACCTGCCTCACCTGAGAGGAGGAAGAGGAGAGGAACAGGGACAAGGGTCAGATGGGTCTTTATGGAGTACAAACCAGCCATCCCATGCTCTTTAATAGACCTTTTCTGGTCCACAGACAAACCAGTCAGATGGTTATTACTGAGCTCAGTCACATGCTTGTGGTTGTTGCACAGAGTTGCACTGTTCTGGGTCCGTTAGTGGAGACTGGATGGACAGATGAACTGATTCTGGACAAGCTAAAGCCTTTTAGAGCCTCCATCAGTCTGGTGGCTCCATTTCCCTTTTCTGTATCTCAAAGTTTCTCAGCAGAGTTTGTTCGATCTTATAATAATGAACTTAAACAAGGTTGGAGTTCCTCAGGGATCAATGCTGGGTCCTCTTCTTGTTTTACTGTTTGTGCACATTTCTCACCACTGAGAGAGAAGACGATCCAAACTGGACTGTTAGAAACGTTAGAGCCTCAACAGTTGGTGAAATGTGACCAGAGACTGGATTCTAGTAGAACCATGGATCCATCCATAGACAGACACTGACAGGGACTTTCTGAGGATCAGCACCACCTTAAGATTACGCTTTTTTCTATTTTCAAAGTCCAGTGATTAAAAATGTGTCCTCTGCTGGACCTATTTACTATTCTGCCCGTGTCCCCATCTAATGTCATTTTATCTTTTATTTCTGGAGACACTGAACCCTTGAAGAAACTTCTCAGGTGAGACGTTGGTTGAAAACAGAATTCTCGAAATTCAGGCAAAATGTTTTAAGAGTTTTGGCTCAAAGAAAATACGAATAAGTAAACTCTGACCAGGATTTAAGACAGCAGAGCAACATACGTCCTGAATTCTGTCTGTATGGAAAGTCTGTGAGTGTGTAGGAACAGTGACACCATCAGGCCACTCTGTGAATTACACCATCTCCCACTATAACGTTAGAAAATGTTTCAGTTATAACCAATAAGAACAACGTAATTTCTGACATTCTGACAGCAGAGTGAAGTTAAAGACCAACAGTCTGAGGAAGAGCAGGCGGGTTAGAGCGAGTTCAGGCTGTTAGACTGTCCCGGGTTAATGCCGTGAGGATAAACCCAGACTCTTCCAGCCCCACAGAACCACTCCGTTAAGCTGTTAGACACTCCACACCAACACACCGTCCTGCAGCGGCGGGCGGCTGCCGGCCGGCATCCCGCTGAACCCGCCCAGACTCTCCCGACCCAGAAAGTCTCCGAACACGTCTCTGAACGGATCTCCTCCGACCTGAGTGCTCTCCTCCACCCGGACCTCCCGCTTCGTCTCTCCGGCCCGAGTCTTGCTGATCTCGGTGCGTTCGGTCCGAGTGTAGGTGTGGCTGCTGCGGGTGAAGGTCCGGGTCAGACGCTCCTGGGCCGAGACCATCTGAAACCAGTTCCCTACAGCCGGACAAGAAGCAGGGAGGAGGAGGAGGAGGACGAGGAGGAGGAGGTGAAGAGGAGGAAGCAGGGGGAACGAGCAGACAGGTGCAGCAGGAAGTGATGTCACAGCTCACCTGGGATTTTGAGGCTGAGGTCGCAGGTGCTGCCGATGGTGGCAATGGAGGGAGCCTGGCGCTTCCTGGTGATGCTCTCCTTCATCCGGCCCTCGCCAAACACCTTCACCGTGAACGGACTTCCTGTTTACGCATAAACGTCGCAAAGTTTAGCCAGAAAACCGAAAGAAAACGAGTCCAACAGCCAGAAACACCACGGTTCTGTTTTAACCCGCTGGTCAAAAAGCACCCAAATTACACAAAAGTCATCAGCCAGAAACTGTAAAAACAGAAAGAATCATGTAGTATTAAATATTCCAACAGTCCTTGGGTGTATTCTGTTTGGTTTGGCCTTCCATTCATCAGGACAACCTACAAAAACGACAGAAGGGAGACTGAGAAGAGAAAAGACAACCAAACAACCCAGAAAAAGGAGAACAAAGAACAACATAAACGTCAGAAAACTGTCCTAACGAGACACGAAATGACACAAACTAGACATAAAAACAACAAAAATCAGACACAAAACAAAAAAATGAGAAAAACAAGGACAGAAACGAGACCAAACTGTCTCAGACTCTGTAGATTTTACTGTCTAGAGTTCAGAGAGTTTAGTGTCATAAAGAACTCAAACCATCAGACTGGATCTAAGTTTCCCTCTAAACTTTACATCTGTGCCGTATGAAGGTTTCCTGACTAAAGGAAACCTGGAGTCGTGGCTGTTCCTACCCGGCACGTGTTGGTCGGCGAACTTGATGTTGATGATGTAGTTCCCGGGTTCGGTTGGACAGTAGGTGACTTTACATGTCCCGTCCTCCACGTCCTCACAGTTGATGTCCACCTTACTGGGACCCTCGATGGACAGACCCAGACCGCCGTAACCTGCCCAACGTCAGCAGAAACAGTTACGATGCTGAACATCTGACGGCTTGCAGGTACGACGGAGGTTCGAATCCTCACCTGCGTTCCTGGTGTCCACGATGAACTCGGCCACCTCGAAGGTGTGTCCTTCCACCAGCCCCTGGCCGTAGACCTTCACCTTGCTGGCGTCGCCGATCTCCGACTGACCAACCATGATCTTGAACGGACTGTTGGTCACGTGCTTCCCGTTTTTCATCACGCTGACCACGTGTTCGCCCACTTCCTTTGGCGTGAAGGAGATTCCTGCAGACATGAGACCAGAAAAATGTGTCTCATTTGATTGTCTAAAGAGTTTACCGTAATGTCCGGACTATCAGCCGTTACTTTCTTCACACACTTTAAATGCTGCAGCTTCAACAACGATGCGGCTAATTTATGGATTTTTACGAATTTGTTATATATTATTTATATATTTGTTCGGCCTGATTTGGTTTAAGCCAGACGTCTGATTGGGTCTGACTAGCGGTGGAGGTGAAACGGACCAATGTGCCGGTTGGGAAGCCTCTTCAGCAGGCAGGGCTCCTCGTTTCCAGACGGCGCTCGGATGGTCGCCGTCAGGCTGCTCAAGTCCGTCTCCGTGATCTTTAGGGACACGTCTGTTGCTGTGCCGACGTTGAGCTGCGACATCCTCATGGAGTCGTCACCTGGGGGTCGGACAAGATGAGACTGGTGAGAAGCAGCTCAGGTTCTGGTGCTGTTCTGAATAAGTTAGTTACCAAATAATATAACAGCAGCAAGAAACGTGTCACTGCTTTAGGGGATAAAGACAAACGAAACATGGAACTGAAAGACAACCAAAGAGAAATCTGATTAAATAAAGATCACCAGAAACGTTCAACTACAAACTAAACCCGAGTCAGGCCTTAGAGAGAAGAACTCTCTCGGTAGTGGTACCGGTGATCTTGGCGGTGAACGGGCTGCCGGGGATGTGCTTGTCATCAAACTTGACGATGATGTTGTAGTCTCCAGGTGCGGTGGGCAGGTAGGACACCGTACACGTCCCGTCTTTGTTGTCTTTACAGTTTATCTCCGCTTTTGACGGACCTTCAACGGCCAGAGACAAACCACCTGCAGGACAGAACCCGTCCATGAGGGACCATGTGGACTTTGGTGACATGTTTGGATCTGATAAACTTTGTTCAGTGTGACTAAACTGAGTTACTTCTACAGGACGAGACGTGTTCAAGTCAGCTGAGTGTCTGGTACCTTCTCCGGCGTCTTTAGTGACGATGGTGAACGTGGCCGGTCGGTTCACGGTTCCGTGGGTCAGACCGGGTCCGTATGCCGTCACGTGGCCGCTGTTGATGGCGTCGACGTAGAACTGCAGTGGACTCCCTGCAACCAACGAGACAACCTCAGGCTTAATGACTTCATGAAGGGACAAACGTTTCACATGAACGGGACGATTTTAGGGTTCGATTCATCCTGAAATCCGACTGTTTGCTGACGACACTCGACTGTTCGCCTCCGAAAACACAAACCGAAGCTCAACAGTAGAAAACAGGAAGTACAAACATTGTGTTTGTTTACCTGGGATGTGTTTGTTTACCTGTGTATGTTTGTTTACCTGGGATGTGGTTTCCGTCGTATTTGATGTCCATCTCGTGCAGACCTCGTTCAGTCGGGGAGTACTTCACTGTGACGGTTCCGTCCTTGTTGTCGGTGATGTGAGGCTGAGCTGTTCGACCGGACGGCATCCGCACCTCACCTGGAGGACAAACAAGGAAACACAAACAACAAAAACAAACAAGGAAACACAAACAACAGTTAATTTATCACAACTCTTGCTGTATTTTCTGTTCTGACATCAACAGAAACTTTCCATTTCGTGATATTTTGCACATTTAGACTCAAACCATCAGTGAATGAATTAACTATCAGTGGTTCTAAAGCTGAGGTTCAGGGCCAGTGATGGGTCCCTTAGAGAAACCTGAAGGGCCAAAAGATCTGCCACCGGATCGTTTTTAAATAAATAAATCTGATAATTTTTCTTCAATCTTCTTTAAACACACCAGCTGATGAATCCTTGAACAAGCGACGCAGTAGAAAAGCGTTTATTTATTTTCTTTTCTTTGTTTCTTGCATAAACTCTGGAGGAGTTCAGCTCTTCAGGCGTCTGAAAGTCTTTTAACTGCCTCATTTTCTAAAGTCACATCGTTATAAGAGGTGCTGATAGTTTATGTATAAGCTTCATTAAAGCCACAGAAAGAGAAAGAAGTCAGAAGACGTTGACAGAAACATGAAGACGTCGGTGGTTTGCTGTCAGCGTCTACAGATGAGCTCCATGTAGATGAGCTGCTCTGTAGCTTCAGCATCAACATCTCCACCTCCTCAGTATTTATGACTGTCTGACTCTTTTCTAATAGTCTATAGTTTAAAAAAATCTATAAATATTGTTGCACAGCCTCGAGAACAACCGCTTCTCATTTCACTGCTCATCCTGGATGAACACAGGACATAAAACACCTGTTTAAAGAGATTCAGCTGTCAGAATGATCAGCAGCTCATTATCTATCTATCTATCTATCTATCTATCTATCTATCTATCTATCTATCTATCTATCTATCTATCTATCCATCCATCTATCCATCCATCCATCCATCCATCCATCCATCCATCCATCCATCCATACCTGTGATCTCTCCTTTCTGCACCGTGAACGGGATGACCAGGCTGAAGGGACGCAGCATCGGCTCCAGCCCGTCCACCGGGCTGATCGGATCGTCGGTGGCCTGAACCGGAGCCAGAGGGAGGAGCGTTAGTGACACTGGGAGCTCTGGGAACTGATCCAGGGACCAGTTCAGCTCAGACTGGACGGAAACCAGTTAAACCAAAGTCTGAACCGAGCTGGTCCAGAAACAGACGGAAATGAAATATATTTAATCTAAAACAAACAATTAACACAAATAAATGCATTTAAAAAAGGAAACGAAAGAAAAACAGAAAAGATGAATGAACTACATAAAAAAAAAAAAAAATGTAATTAAATAAAATAATAAACTGAAATAATGGATAAAACAAAAAATAAAAACAGTTAAAATAGCGATAAAATGAATCACACAAAACCTAATTAATTGAATTAAATATCTAAAAAATGTCTAATTAAAAAAAAAAAAAAACAAATATTAAATATTAAAACCACATGAAAAACAAAATAAATAATAAAATTAAAAAACTCCTAAAAAAAATGTTTAAGTTCCACTAATTCTACAAAAAAAAATCAAAACAATGGAAAAAAAAACTATCAAAATTTAAAAAGCAAAAAAAATAAAGGAACAAAATTTAATAACAAAATAACATTTTGGGGAAAAAATGAGAAAAAAAAAAGAATTTCAAAACATAAAAAAAAATATAAAAATTTTATTTACACAAAAAATAAATAATGGAAAAAAATTAATGAAAAAGAGAAAAATAAAGCAAAAAAAACAATAAAAATATATAAAAATAAATGAAAAATAACAAATAAAAACTAAATAATAAAATGAATTTTAAAGCATTAAAGAAAGAATGAAATGCGTCTAACAGCTCTAGAGACAGTCGTTCTGCATCAGATGGTAGAAATGAGCCTGAACCGGACCAACAGTCGACCCAGAAGCTTGGTGCAGATTAAACGTGCAGCTTCATGCTGAGAAGAATCCATAAATTAATCTGGGTTGTTATTGACGAGTCAGAAAACAGACGGTTTGTGTGAAGAGGAGTCGCACCGCAGAAAACACTGAACAGTAAAAACAGTTTGATGTTGTTTTGTTTTGTTTAATTATAAATATTATCGGTAAAATCACAGAAATAAGCTGTTGACTATAAATCTATTCATCCATTATGTCCGTATCAATCATCTGTATTTCATAAACACGAACTCATTTACAATCTGTGACCATAAATCACACAACTTTACTGTATTTAAATCAACTAAAACTCTCCTTATGTTACACATACTTGCTGTTATTCTGAACCTGGTGTTTGCTGATGTTGTTTACTGTGTTTACTGATGTTGTTTACTGTGTTTACTGATGTTGTTTACTGTGTTTACTGATGTTTTTTGCAGTGCGCTCTGTGTGATCAGAGCCGGTATAAAGAGGAAGCAGCAGATGAGCAGCAGGTGGATGAACTCTGGTACCCATTGAGGGGAGAAGAAGTTCTGCTGTAACTGAAGCTGGTCACACGGTTCCTCTATTATTGGGACGCTTTCACTGGCCTGACGGGGAACAAGGTGCAGCAGTTAGGCAACAAACAAACAAACAAACAAACAAACAAACAAACAAACTGCTGCTGTAATCATCCACATTTTATGCTAAAGAAAATGGTGTCTTTTGTGTTTTCAGGAGTAAACTGAGGATTAAACCGACGTATCTGAAGGTTTGTCGTTTCACTAACAGCTGGTTTTAATGTTTTAATGAGGTTCGGTTATAAAACACACACAGAGCTACACAACATGCAGAGTTAACGACGTCACACATTAATTAATAGGTTTGAAGATCCAGTGGTTCCAACATGATCAACCCTGAGATGTAAAACATTGAGTCCCCCCAGTCTCACCGTCATCCATCAGACGCCTGCGAAGGGTTTAATGACCGCTAGAGAGCCAGAGCAACAGAACTGGACACGAAGGCTGGAACCACTGAGCTTCAAACCAAACCAGACCAAACCAAGCCAAACCAAACTAGACCAAGCCGAACCAAACTAAACCGAACCAAACCAAAGAACCAGACGAAACCGAACCAGACCAAACCGAACCAAACCAAAGAACCAGACCAAACCGAGCAATAATCACCAAATCAACTCAAACAAACCAACCAATGCAAATTTACCCAATCTAATCTTCCAAAATCAATCAAAATGAACCAAAATGACCAAAGCTACCCAACCGATCGAAACCAACCCAACCCAAACATACACAACTAACCTACCTCTTACCTGCTGACCCAGCCAACCTACCCAACCAAAACCAAACCTACCCAAACTAGCTCAACCAACACAAACAAACCAATCAACCCAGCTCAACCCAACCCTCCTGAAACCAACTAACCCAAACCAAGCACAGTACTCATCCCAAACCTGATAAACAAACTCATCCTACCTGATCAAAACCAACCAAACCAAACCTGCCCAACATGCCCAACCAAACCTAAACCATTCCAGCCCAACCCAATCAAAACTAACACAACCAAACCTTGTTAATCAACCCGGTCGGTGACTCACCACCACATGGAAGGGGCTGTTGGGGATGTTTTCTCCTCCGAACCGGATGGTGATGACGTATTTCCCCGGTTCCGGAGCCGTGTAGTAAATATCAAATGTTCCGTCGGCGTTCTCCACCACGTCCACGTCCAGCTCGGCTCCGTCCGGCGTCGACACCTTACAGGTGACTTTACCTTTCCCAGCAGCCTTAGCGTCCACGGTGATGACGGTCTCCTCTCCGATCTGGATGGTCGGGCCAATACCTGAACCTGACAAGACGGACGCCATGTTTCTAAACTGGTTTACATCCATAAAAGGACTCGACAACAACCATCAGAGAGACTAAACTTCATGTCTAACTTTAGTTTTGGGTGTTGGGGTGACGCCCATCTGTTCAGCGACAACGGATGGAAAAGAGCCTCTGAGCTGCATTAGTGAGAAGCAGATTAACCCAAATGATAGTTGAATTGTTGTCTTTATTGTGTCTTTATGCTTCTGTCAAAATGTTTTAATTCATGGCTACAGTCATCAGATCAACAGCAGGTGGCGCTGATTTTCCAGTCGTTGACATTAAACCACCACAGAAGAAGAGATGACGCCATTAAAAGAACTCAAACAGACTTTACTGAAGTTGTTAACTCACAAAAGTCTGTTTTTGCTTTGGTACGTCTTCTTTTGCTGAAACTTTCTGATGTCATTCAAGCATAAATGAGTTTTCTGTTTCTAATCAGGGTTTTATGTTCATGTTTAATCAGATTCATTCTTTTTTTTTAGCTTATTTGTAGCTTGTTTTTGTGTTTCTTGTATTAAATCCAATGCACTTTGTCTTGCTATTTAAATGTGCTGCACAAATAAACCTGCTTTGTTTGATACGTCTTAAATCAACACTAACATCTGGCTGATGGAGTCCAGATGTTCTCAGAAGGATGGAGTGGAACCAGAGGATTTATGACGGGAAACTGGAATAACAGTTTGCTTTGACATTCATGTTTATTTCTTCCTGTTCGGGTCATTATTTATAGACGTTAAAGGATAGTTTGAGATCCAGCGAACACTCACCCGGTCCGTGTCCTCCGATCGACACTGTAGGAAAACAACAGCACCGTCAGTGACACGCTAACAGATGATGGAGTCTGATTGGTGGACAGAGGACCGGTGGGCGGAGCCTCACCTGTGACCAGACACTTGCTGGCGTCTCCGGTGGGCAGGGCGTGGATGCGGTAAGGCGAGTACGGGATCTCGTCTCCGCCGTACTTGATGGTGATGGTGTAGCGCCCGGCCATGTCGGGTACGTAGGACACCGTGTACGTTCCGTCCTGGTTGTCCCGGATGTTCGCCTTCTTCGGTTTCCCCTCTGGATCCTGGAGACCAGAACAGGAAGTTAGCGCCGGTTCACCAACAGGACGTTCTACTGATCATCACTGGACTCGACCATCCGCCATCGACAGCAACATTAAAACTAGCTGCGTTTTTGTTGTGAGTTAAGCCTCAGCCAGTGCAGCAGCGCCCCCTGCTGGACGCTGACATCTGCTTAAACACAAGAACCCAAACTAACTAACCAACCCATACAGCTGTTAGAGTTATCATTCTTTTCACTGTGGTGATAAAATAGGAAAACTTTATAAAACCAGGTGTTAACCAGTTCTATGGAAGCCCTCTCTGTGCAGCAGCGCCCCCTGCTGTGTGGACGTTGAGTTGATATTGTACAAATGCAGCTCTCAGGATTATAAGCAGCTTACAGATATGTTAACTCTACAGTGCCGTAAAAAGCCTGGATGGCCGCCGATGGTTGGAGAGCAGTGGCGTCGTCATTTCACAGCCGGGTCGCTCCATTAAAAAACAAACCAAACAAATCTGAGGAAAGTTCTCCACCGAAAAAATTATACTTTCATACGATGAATACTTCCAGACGCTATTCACCGTATTAAAGTATGATTTTGAATTACGTCTTCAAACATACTGAAGTTGTTTTAAATGACAGAACATTGGATTCAGGAGGGAGAACCGTTTTTATGGAGCAACCCGGTCACACAGGATCTAACTACTCACTGCAGCAGGAGATGGATGGAGGATGAACGATGGACGTTTACGAAGCAAACAGAAACCAGCCGGTTAGTTGAGAGCCCAACACCACATCTGTCTGTTAGCTCATTAGACAAACTGGATGGAGTCAGTTCACATGTGGACCACAGAGGAGACGTGAAATAATGCAGGAACATGAAAACTCTCAGTATTAAGATGGTTCCTGCTGGTTTCTGCCGTCCATGAATCTACTGTTGGTTTATTCAGAAAACCAGGAGTCACACCAACAAGTTCTGTGGTTTTAAAAAACATACAGTTTACAACAGCAGTGAGCACAGCCCTGAGTCACCTCACAGTAATCAGATTACTTTTACATTAAAGTGTTTCCTCTGATGAACCATCAGAAACTCATCCTTTATAAAGACTAGTTTGTAAATTAGAAACCAAAGCAACCAAACTGAGTCCAGCTGTGGTTCCATCAGTCCACCTGCATGAACATGGTTCTACAA